ACGGCGAATTACGGCTCTGGAGCTGAGCTGCTGGTCGACGTGCAGCTAACGGCATGGCCCAGCCCATCGCTGGATGGCTTCGTGGCTGCTTTGCTGGCGATGATCGTTGGGTTCCAGATCTTGCTGATGCTGGTCAGTTTTGAATAAGAGTGCCACCCGTTTCAGGAGGACAGATGCTAGAACGGCGCGGGCTGTTGCCGCCATCCAAGCCATGGATGCCTCGTGCCCGTTCACGAAGTTTTCGAGGTCGGCTCCTGCAGCAGCCAATATGATCTGGTGTGTGAAGGTTCGCAGGTTTTGTGCTGCGTGCAAAGTCGAAGTTTTGGACAACAGGCTGGCTCGGCAGGCATTGTTGCGACATTCAGGGTGAGGGCCTTGTTTGTGCACTTCGCTTGCAAGAACCAGCTGACCCGTGACTTTACAAACGTGGCCGGACTACTCGAGCGGTTTCACGGCCCTGTCAACCAGGTTCTAGAGAGATCAGCAGATTGCAATTGCGGTCCTACAGACGACGACGCAGCAACCACCTGTGCTGCATTAGTGTTTGGATCCGTCCTGACGACTGCGAGGATGCTCCCGTTGTGTAGCCAAGTTTAACCTGGAGGCTGTTGCTCCCGGGGGCGATTTTCCTTTGCTTTCCACGTTGGTTCGGTCGACCTTGCCACAAGCAGAGTTTCTGCTTGCTGCGCTGGCGCTCTGATGTTCTCAGTCTGTGAGCCGTTGTCGACGCATTCGTGCCGTCTCCGAGTTCGACCCTGCCTTGGGCTGGTCCTCGTATTGACAAGCCTTGAGGGCTCCAGTGCGAAGCCGATGCTTGCGAAGGCGATGCTCCTGCATGCGTGTCTGAGTGAGAAACCGTCTGCGCCTTGTTATATCAAATCGAAATCAGCTGAGATTTGGCTGTGGCCCCACTCGCTATGACAGTGACAAGTGCTTGTTCGAGAATCCCGCGTACATCTACCGCGAGCTTCCAGGTCTTCAGTCGATGGATATCGGTGGACTGCGGTCGCATGCGCTTGCGCCCGAGTGGACCGAGCGAGAAGCACGCGTCAACTGACGCCTGGCCGCGCTCGATTTTCAGGGCCATTTGCCGGTGCAGCATCCGGCGAGCAACAGCGAAAGCGCACGAAAGTGTTGGGCTTTTGCCAGTTATTGAGAGTGGATACTGCTCCGGGTAAAGCAACATGAGTTTCTCCGAGCTTGAATCCTGCAATTCACGAAGTGGCGTCGTGGCACCATCCGCCGCTTCAGTGTGTTCCCATATAAGGAGCCAACATTCTGCGCTACACATTGGCTTAAAAAGACAAGGTGCTGCGTTGTGGATCAATTACGCAAGCTTGAATAGCCAGCTTGCGGCGAGCCGTCGGCAGAATTGGTGTCGGCTTGGTACCTCCATTTCCTTGTTCCCGGCAGACTGCATCACTCGGACAGACAGCTTTGTAACGAGGCGTCGGAAGAGGAGGAGGCTCTCAGTGGAGATTCATCGGCCGAAGACTTGATTCAATTATGGGTAGCGGGCAAGGCCAGAATCTCCAAGGATGGTGCGATGATTTCCACTTCATCTTGCGGACCCGCAACTTGGCAGTGTTGTCGTAATCTTGCATACACACGCCACCTCTACTGTTACTAGTGCTTGTGACATGACTTACAGAACTTGTTGATTGTTCGTGTTCTCGACGTTTTTATCTTTAATGGGGTTCTTACATTCGTGTAAGATGATCAGACCGCTGTCCTCGTGAGGCGCGAGCAGCAGGCATGCCCGACGATTCCACGGCCCGGCTGTGGCGAGGCCTTCTCGAGTAAGTGGCTGCGTCTCCACAAACCTACAACGGATACCCTTGTGCGTTCTCCAATTCTGTGCATCGCGCTCTCCCCAGCGTGCCATGCCGGGTTCTACATGCCACCAGACTCGGATTTTGGAGCCTCTTCCCATGTGGGCATAGTTGAAAGGGTTTTTGGGACGTTCCAGCGTTCTCAATCGTTCTCCCGCCACACCACCCGTCTTCCCACCGGTCGCGTGCATTTTCGTTTTCTGACATGGCGGTTCACCCATGGCAACAGGGTGTGGTTTGTGATACAACGACCGTTCAATCATCGAATCAAAACTGAGGCGAGGTTCATGTATATAAAATAATAAAAAAGATTCCTAGTGCATGTTCGTGGCAGCTTCACCCACTGAGGATTGTTCGGAAAAAGGAAGCCGACAGAAAACACGTTGTTACAATTCGAGTAGCCCACCCAACTTGCATGTAGCCAACGGTTGGTTTTGTCATTGGGCCGTATGATGAAACTAATGCCATACCGGACACTTCACTTGGTGCATCAGAGCATATGCAAAATTTTTCGTTTGCAAACGAAACGAGTTGAAGTAGTTTTTCATTGATATTTGGTTTTGGAAAATGAAAAACAGGAATCGGAATGTGTTTTGCCGGGAAGGAACTTCAGCAGACACTGGTTCAAGCAAAACGGCTGTCCAATCCATTTACGAGTCACATGATGCAGTTAGCATGAAGCGACAAGCCCAAAGACAGGGACAATGACATGACATTTGCGATGTGAAGGGGCATATGTCGAACGTGCATGCTTTAAGCTATTCTTTTGTCCGAATTTTGCAGCGTTTACACAGAAGAGTTTCGAACAGACGCACGCCCCTGGAGAGAAGGAGTTGCAATGTGATCCACATGCAAGATAAATTGGCATGAAGCCAGCAAACTGTGATGGCAACAATGTGCCACTGGACTACTTCCTGCATCCAGAATAGGGTTCCGGCGAGAAGGTAAAGCTTTTCCTTCTTGCAGCTAACGGGATACAAACTAATCCAAAGATCTCCAGAACAGTGCTCGAACAGGGTTTTCATGTTTGTTGCGATGGTTTCGCCGAGACAAAACGCCTTGACAAGAAATTGGCTCGCGATGGAGGAGCCTGCGCGTAAACTGGGAGGCGTGGTTGTCGCACCCTTAGCCCCTAAACCCGAAACCCTTTGACATGGAAGGGACCTCGGACTGCACAGATTTGAAGAGCATGCATTCCAAAATGCTTGAATAAAGAAATATACCGTGAAAATACCTTAAATAAGAGTAGGACCCCTAATATGATTCAAAGACTATTCCTTCATTAAAGAATTTTGATCCTCTCTGGGATCTTTAGACCCTGTAAATCCTTATAAGAGCCCTTAAAGGAACCCATCAAAAAATTACTTTAAAAGGGGCCCTGGGACCCCTAGGAGTCTCTGGGATCCCCAGCGATTCCAGAAAAAAAAATTCCCGCGCCCCTACTTAAAGTATCATGGGACCTAGTAGCCTTTAAAGGGTTTTCTATAAGGGTACTGTAAGGGTTCCAAGGGTTTAGAGTTTCCGGATTTTGGGGGTACTTTTCTTCTTTTAGTAAGGACAGGCAATTGCATGGGTTTTATAGGGTTTCTTTCAGGGTACTCTAAGATTACGACAGGGGCTCTTTGGGGGTACTGGGAGGGTCATGGGACTTAGTAACTTGCATTTTGGGGCTCTTTTTAAAGGTATTATAAGGGTTGAGTTATACGGTTCCCTCTGGAGGGTATAGAGTTTAGGGTCTACCTGAAGGTTCATATCACCTGGTAAAGGCAAACATACCGATAATTTCTTAGTCTTTGTAGATGTACCTAGCAAGTCCCCAGCACCCTGCAAAGCCCTGCAGAATCCTTACAGGAACCCTTGAAAGGAACCCTGCAAGGTACCGGTAATTCTGTTTTGGGTCCCTTTTTAGGGCACAAAGGGGGGTCCCCTGTAAATGTACCCTCAAAGGTATCCGGAAAGGAGCACTTTAAGGAACCCTAAACCCTAAACCCTAAACCCTGAACCCTAAACCCTGAACCTTAAACCCTGAACCCTGAACCCTGAACCCTGAACCCGAAGCTATGTGCCAGACCGGCTCTTTTCTCCTACCAGGCAATGGACTATGCTGGGCTTCTCTGTGTGAGGGCCCTGTCCCGTCCCAAGTTCTGCTGGGCTTCAAGGGTGGTCTTCAGGGCCCGAGGTTCAACTAGGGGCGCTTTTGCAGGGGTTCAGTGTTTGGGTTTCGGGGTTTCTGGGAATTTGGGGATGGTATTCGGACTGGCGGCTTAGGGTCTAGGGGTGGCCATAGGCAGCGGTACGCGACACGCGCAGCGCAGGTTCAAGAGTTTCAGAGAAAGTGAGAGCACCAACTTCAGATCCGAAATGTCCAGAAGGTTCAGGGGTTTAGGGTTTGGTCTCAGGGTTCAGGGTTCTCGGCTACTCTTAGGTGGAGGGTTTGGGTAGAAACACCTAGGCTGCAGAGCTGGCATCAATTTTACCAGGGCCTTGGTGCGTAGGCTCTGAACCCCAGGCCCCTCGGTACTGGATCATGGGACTTAGTACGCAAGGGTATAAGCACCTCAACCGGAGCTATACTTAACTATCAGTATAGTTACTTTCTTTATAGCCTCAATGACTGAGTTCCATTGAGTTCCATGATCCTTTAAGTAGTCTCGGAACCCCCCAGGCGCCTCGGGAGGGCGCATGGCTTTTTTTTTTTTTGCGGCGCGCCTCGTCTCAAGCCAAAGCTGCGACTGGGGAGCAAAGCGCGAAGCGTGCTAGCGTGTACTTGGAGGGTCGGGGGGACTTAGTAAGTAGGTAATTAGTAGGTAGACTTATAAGTACCCTAAAAGGGACCCTATAATTGGGGTTATGGTACTTATAAGTCCCTAAAATAACCAGTTACTATGTCCCCCGACCCTCCAAGTAGCTTACTCACCAGATTATGTTATTCGAAAAGGGTAGCTACACTTTATCTCTACTTGCAGCCTCAGATTAAGTACATTGGGGTTATAGTTAGAAGAAAAGTAGTTACACTTTATCTAGAAACCCCAGCTAAGCATACTAAGTCTCATGATGCTCCAAGCCCTGAAAACCAGCTCCGCTAAGAGTGAGCTGTAGCCTGTGACCTGCTGCGGTTCAGGGCTTTCCGCGTGAGCTTCCCTTGGGGCAGAAGCCCTTGCCACGCCAATGCCGCAGCTTCTCCTGTGCCTGCGAAATGTGGTAAGTGGCGGCACCGTAGCAGAGATTGTCGGGGACTCTTCGTGGACTTCGATGGAAGCGGCTCTTGCCGTGGTCGCAAGCACCGGCCACAACAATTTCAAGCTCGTGAAGGGTAGTCACTGTTTTTTCCCAGGCTCAGCGACGACACTTGGCGAGTTTGCAGGCGAGGGCGAGACAGCGGAGCTCGAAATCCTCATACAGGACTTTCCAATCTTGCGGATCTCGGGCATTCCTGCCGATGCCGCGTTCGGTGGACATGGCCCTGCCATTGGATCCACGACAGATTCTTCCAGCCTTCATGACTTGAATGGTGACTGGTCGGCCGTGCCTCTGCTACAGGTCCGGGGGCATCCGGTGTGGACCAAGCAGACGCACCTTCGAAACCTGGCTCTTCTTATAAGGACCCCAAAATACGGTAACCCCCCCAATTTTCGGAAACGCTACACCCTAAACCGTTTATAGAACCCTTATAGATCCCTTTAAGGAGCCTCGCAGAAGTCAACCTGATAGGGATATACAAGATACAGTGATATGGGTGGCTGTCAAAATCGTGGTCCCTTTTTGGGTCCCTCATATAGTAGTACGGCACCAAATATTTGGGGTACCCAACAAGGGACCATAGTTTTGACAACCAGGCAGTGCGACACAAGATTCTTGTCCTAAGGCACTATGAGCCGTAAGAACAAGCGTCCTACTACAGGTAGGGTAACAACAAGTAACCCTAAACCCTAAACCTTAAACCCTAAACCCGAAACCTTAAGCCCTAAACCCGAAACCATAAACCCAAAACCTTAAACCCTAAACCCTAAACCTTAAACCCTAAACCCTAAACCTTAAACCCTAAACCCCGAGCCCAGGAAATAAGTGGGAGCCCCGCAGTGGCCTACCTGCGGACGATGGGGTGCGTTACATTGTCCTAGGCCAGGTGGAGCTTTGGCAGCCTTTTTTTAAAGCTTCTCCCGTGGCCTATAGTGGTACCTCTTCATAACCCTAAGATCCCTAAACCCTAGCCCTTAAACCCTATGCCCTGGACCCTTAAACCCTAATGAATCCGGTAGGTGGCGACGGGGTCTTGGACATCGCGTGGCTGCCCGCAGGCGAACGACCGAGGTCGGACAGCTTCCCGCACCAGGCAGGCGGTCGGCGGAAATTGTGCGCACGTTTAGGGTTCAGGGGCTTCGGGTTTACTTGGAGGGTCGGGGGACTTAGTAAGTAGTTATTTTATAGACTTATAAGTATCATAACCCCAATTAGGATCCCTTTTAGGGTACTTATAAGTCTACTTAATACCTACTTACTACGTCCCCCGACCCTCCAAGTAGGGGTTAGGGTTTAAGGTTGAGGGCCATAATTCTGCCCACGCACATAGCTATAAGGGCAGTGTTTCACGTTCCGTTCTTTCTACAGATTTCTAAGGGTTGATGATGGCAGGTGCTCATCTCCTTCAAGCAAGCCCGAATGTAGGGTGCTTTTCTGGGATCTCGCTGTAAGGATGTGTGTTTGCAGTGGTATTTCATTGCCTAGGACACTTGGAACAACCCCAAAACTAGTATCAATTTGTGATAAAAGGTTATAAGATCCTGTAAAGATACCTGAAGGAAATCTTTCAACCCACTAATCCCTGAACTCAAAGGGACGTTCTTTTTTTGGTTACCCGCCCTGAAGTCGTCTCGTCACGGCTTTCTCGCCGGCTTCAACTTCAAAGAGCTTTCGGAAAGTCTGATCTGGGAGACTTAGTCCTCCAATCTGGGTTTAGGGTTTAGGGTTTAAGGAAGAACTTTTGTTTACTAGGATGAAACCTTTATTTCCAACAGCAAATTTCGTTTCAACGAAATTAGTGATACGGCTGATGGACAAAATCCTGCATGACCCATAATACGGAATATATGGAAATTATGGTATATTCCTTATTATGGGTCATGCAGGATTTTGTCCATCAGCCGCATTTGTTTCGAAATTTTTCGTTGCTTGAGTATATATTTTAGTAGTAATCTGAAAGTCTAACCTTTTATTTCCCTGGCTTATTGGGGAAGTAAGGAGACAGATGGCCACCCCGGCAAGGCTCACGTGCACCTGGGTTCTGGAGGGTTTAGGGTTTTAGAGAATTGGCCAACCCTCATGTTGACCCCAAGACCCTTAAACCCCTAAACCCTAAACCCCTAAGCCCTAAACCCTAAACCTTAAACCCTAAACCCTAAACCCTTGTTAAGGGGGAGGTTTTACAGGTCTTACAGGCTCCAGGCCCTTGGAAGGGCCTTTATAACGGTTTTTGAGTTTCGAAGACTTCGGGCTCTTATGTCAAACTCCGACAAACTCCCAAAATAGGTTATATAGTGCGCAGATGCCTTTTTTTGGTGCAGGTGGCCTAAATCTCCGAAACCTTGTATAGAACTTGGGTACGGCCCCCACTCAGTAATAGTTGAATAATACTCATAATATAGATATATTAGGACCTTTATAGTAGCCCTATTATAGGCAGTACCCAATATAGAACGCTCTAATTCCCGACGACAGGTCTCTGGAACCGTTAAGGTAGCTGAACTTGAGATCCTCAGCAACAGCCCAGGTACTTGGCCTCAAGCGCCCGTTAACCCCTAAACTCGAACCACTTCCCGTGAAACAAAACCCCTAAGCCTTTAACCCTAAACCCGTAAGCCCCAAAACTCTAGACCTTAAACCCTAAACCCTAAACCCCTAAACCCTAAACCCCTAAATCCTAAATCCTAAACCCCTAGACCTTAAGCCGTCAAACAACAGCCCAGGTACTTGGCGTTAAAGCCCTCTTCCTCCTTCCCCAGGGCCCGGGTGCATTCCTGGAGGCTCGGGTAAAGTCATTGGGTGTTTAGGGTTTGGGTTTGGGGTTTTAAACCCTAAAACCCTAAACCCCTAAACCCCTAAACCCCCAAACCCTAAGCCCTTAAACCCCTAAACCCCAAACCCTAAACCCTTAAACCCCTAAACCCCAAACCCTAAACCCTTAAACCCCTAAACCCCTAAACCCTAAGCCCTTAAACCCCTAAACCCCCAAACCCTAAACCCTTAAACCCCTAAACCCCCGAACCCTAAGCCCTTAAACCCCTAAACCCCCAAACCCTAAGGGCTTGAACCGTGGCTTAGGGTTTAGGGCCTTGTGGTTTAGGGGCCCACGGAGCCCTGAGCCTTGAGCGCCGATGCGAAGTTTCCGAAGATTCGGAGTGATTCCCTACTTGGGGGGTCGGGGGACTTAGTACTTATAAGGGGTTCCTTTAAAGGGGTCCTTTAAAGGGATCTATAGGGATTCTATGAGGGTTTAGGGTTTAGGGTTTAGGAGACTTAGTAACTGGTTATTTTAGGGACTTATAAGTACCATAACCCCAATTAGGGTCCCTTTTGGGGTACTTATAAGTCTACTTACTACCTAATTACTAAGTCCCCCGACCCTCCAAATAGGGTTCCTTGAAAGGGCTTACTATAAGGGTGCCATAAGGGTTCCCTTTTAAAGGGCTCCATAAGGTTTTAGAGTTTCCGAAGATTCGGGGTACCTCTTTTTGGGATCTTTTTACTTAGGATCCTACTTTTCAGGGTACTATACTAGGGTCGGTTACGGGGTCGACTTCCCTAAACCCTAAACCCTAAACCCTAAACCCGAACCACTAGGGTCCCCTATATTCGGAAACTCCCATCTAGAGAGCTGCCCTTACTCCTTCAAGGCCCAGAGCCCTTGACGTGACAGCCTTTTATCAAAGGGGAAAAGGGGCTCCCTGGGTCCCGGGCTAGGGGCCCTTAATATAGCTATTGTATACCCATTATGTAATATAGCTATTATATACCCATTATGTAATATAGCTATTGTATACCCATTATGTAATATAGCTATTATATACCCATTATGTAATATAGCTATTATATACCCATTATGTAGCCCCATTATAGGGTAAGGGTCCCCATTAAGGGTCCCTCCTTTCCCCCTTTGATTTCAGGAGATCCAAGGAACTCCACGGCCCTGAAACCGGAAACCCTATTTGGAGGTTCAGGCTTAGTAAGTACTTAAAGGGCTCCTTGAACAGGCTCCTTAAAGGGATCCATAGGGTTCCTTAAAGGGATCTATAGGGTTTAGGGTTCAGGGTTCTACTTGAAGGTTCATGGGACTTACAGTAGAAGCCTAAAAGTTGGAAACCCCATAGCCTCAATCCTTAAGAGTAATGTAGAGGGAATCCCAGCACTATTTGTCCTTAATCCGGTTTCCAACTTTTTGGGGTTTACTCTAGTAACTAGGGTTATAAACAAGGTAATACTTATAATTACTTATAACCCCAGCTGAGGTACTTATAACTGTACTTACTAAGTCCCATGAACCTCCAAGTAAATCCCAAATAAACCCGGAACCCTTCAAGCCTTCGTCCTTGAAGGCACCCTTCAACGAAGCCTTCAATAAGTAGGGTTATAAATACCGTAGCTGTACTTGGATGTATATAGAACCCTAGTTAAGGTACTTATAACTGTACTTACCAAAACTCATGAAAACCTCCAAGTATCCCTATAGGACCTACAGAAATCATTTTCAAAACACCGGAGATACCGTTACAGAGCCCTTTCAGAAGCTACCAATGCCCATGAACCTCCGAGTTGGCCCTAAGCCCTAATACCCTATAGATCCTTTGTAAAAGGGAACACCAGAAAAGAAAACGCTATTTACTAAGTCCTATATCCCTTAATATGAAGGAGTATACCTGACATCTCATTTAGGATTCCCCTTATAGTTTAAGGTGTTCTTTAGTTGTATAAGGGATTTTGGAAGGCCTGGGGAATCCTAAAACCCTGTTTACTTAGTCCCATGAGCCTTGACGTAGACCCTGAACCCTAAACCTTCTTATAGACACCCTTTCAAGGAACCCTTGAAGGAGCCCTTTCAGAAAGTAGGGGACCCTAAAAGAGTACCCTTTCTAGTCGGATCCGTACTATAAGAACCCCCAGACATGGGCACCCCCAAATTTCCGGCAACTCTAAACCCTCATAGAGCCCAAGGAACCCGTATAGTACCCTTATAGTAATCCTGTCAAGGGATCCTAAGGTTTTCGCAAACCCTTAAAGCTGCAAGTAGACCCTAAGCCGTAAACCCTAAGCCCCATATAGACATCCTTTTAAGGAACCCTTGAAGGAGCCCTTTCAGAAAATGCGCTTATAGAGCCCTTTGAAGGAACCCTTAATGGTACCCTTATACTCAACCCTAAACCCTTAACGGAACCCTTAAAGGGGAACCCTTCAAGGAACCCCAAAGGAACCCTAAAGGAACCCTACAGGAACCCTACAGGAACCCTTAAAGCCCAATTCCAGGCGCCAAAGTGGTGTCATTGTCCAGGCCCTTTCTAAAGGAACCCTTATAGAGCCCTTTAAAGGAGCCCTTATAGTACCCTTATAGAGCCCTTTAAAGGAGCCCTTATAGTACCCTTATAGTAACCCTTATAGAGCCCTTTAAAGGAACCCTTATAGTACCTTATAGTAACCCTTATAAAGCCCTTTAAAGGAACCCTTATAGTACCCTTATAGTAACCCTTATAGAGCCCTTTAAAGGAACCCTTATAGTACCCTTATAGTAACCCTTGAAAGCTACAAGAAATCCCCCCGTGGAGGCTGGGGGAAAACTTGGCGGCCGGTTTTGCGGAGCTCGTACGCTGAAACACCAAAAAGGGCCGATGCCCCGCTTGGGGGGGCTTAGTTCGGGGTTTAGGGGTTTAGGGGTTTAGGGGTTTAGGGGTAAAGGGGTTTAGAGTTTCGGGTTCCTTTTTAAGGGTAAGTGTAGGGTTCCATAATAGGGTTCCTTGAAAGGTTTTTTATGAGGGATCTACAAGGGGTTTGGGGTTTGAAGGTTCATGGGACTTCACAAGCAAGGTTTTGAGTATCATGACTGGAGTTATAAACGTGGTTGCTTTCACTGTAATCCTAGTCTTGAGCCCCATGATCCTACAAGCAGATTGAAGGGTGTAAGATTTAGCAAGGGTTTTACAGCTTTTAGGGACCGTTTTTGAATCTCTCGGGACCCGGCGTTGCTTGAACCTGAGCCAGGCCAAAACTACATGCACTGCGCCGGGGAGGTGTGTGCGTGCGTGCGTGCGTGCGTGCGTGCGTGCGTGCGTGCGTGCGTGCGTGCGTGCGTGCGTGCGTGCGTGCGTGCGTGGGTGGGTGGGTGGGTGGGTGGGTGGGTGGGTGGGTGGGTGGGTGGGTGGGTGGGTGTGTGTGTGTGTGTGTGTGTGTGTGTGTGTGTGTGGAGGATTCGTTTGGGTTTCGGGTCGCCTGGATGTGCATTTAGTGTTTAGGGTTGAGTTTAGTGTTTAGGGTTCAGGGTTTTAGGGTTTAGGGTTTAGTGGTTAGGGTTTAGTGTTTAGGGTGCAGGGTTTAGGTTCTGAAGTGGTTTTCGCACCTGCCCTGCATGAACTGAACTGGATCCAGCTACTTGGGGTTCATGGGACCTAGCAGGTCATGCTATAAGTACCTCAGTGGGGGTGATACGTCGCTACAAGAATGGTTACCCGATTTATAACTCTAGTTACTAGGTCCCATGATCATGTAGGCCAAGCCCAAAAGCCCGAAACCCATGAATCCAAGTACCCCTTGCTAGATCCAAGCCAAAAAGCCCGAAACCCTCGAATCCCGAAGCCAGAGCCCATCAAGGATCTGAAAACAGAACCCGTACCTGTGCCATGGCTGAGGCAGACGCATCTCCAGAAGGGGCTTGCAGTGAGTTGAGATTCCATAGAGATTACAAGATCAAGCAATATGACTAAAGTTCGGTTTGACTTAACGTGTATTTCAGCCCCAAACCTTAAACTTTAAGCCCTTAACCCTTGGGTTTCGAGTCTCTAGGTCTTTTCTTGCTGATGGGGCTCCCGTGTGCGAAAGAAGTCTTTAAGGTTTCGGCTACTGGCGGGACTTAGTAAGTCGTTTATAAGTAGGGTTACAATGGGGGTAACTCACTCCATGTAGGGTACTTATAGCCTTATAGCTCTACTTATGACCTACTTGCTAAGTCCGCTGGCCCTCCAAGCAGTGAGTAACTGGGGCCCCCAAAAGGACATAATAAGCATAGACATTTTTCCAGGATACCAGGAGATCTCAATCAGAAGGAAAGTGATATGGGACATCCAGGTCCGAGTTTTGGCTTATGTCTTTTTTGCGCCCTAGCAAAGTGATCGCTGGTGCTCGAAAAGAAGGGGTCTTTCCAAGTTTGTAGCTTCTTGTTCCGGTTTCATCTGCATGGCCACCCGAACCTCTTCACCCTATGCCCTAAACGGAGCCTTAGCATCAAGTCCTGAGCTCTGTATGGGTAGTTCTGTAGATTAGGGTCCCTTTTAGGGTCCTTCTATAAGGGTGCCCTACCAGTTTGGGGACCTAAAAAGGGACCCTAACTTGGAGAACTGCCCATACAAAATCCTAGAGTTGGGCTTGGGAGCAAAGTCTTGGTCGCATGACCTCGTGTTCTGCCTTCTCGTGTTTCAAAGGGCTCCAACGGTGGGATGAAGGTAGATGGGGTAGTCCCAAAATACGAGTCCTTACATACGGGATCCTTAATCCTACTGTTGATGATATAAATCGTGCACTACCCTAAGGACCCTAAACTGTGGGAATTATGGTATGTTCCTTATTATGGGCAATGCACGATTTATATCATCAACCGTACCTGCCTTCATCCCACCCTTTCAGACCTCCAAGTGTTGCAGTGATTCCCTACTTGGAGGGTCGGGGGACCTAGTAAGTAGCTATTTTATAGACTTATAAGTATCATAACCCCAATGAGGATCCCTGTTAGGGTACTTATAAGTCTACTTAATACCTACTTACTAAGTCCCCCGACCCTCCAAGTAGGACACCCTGAACCGTAAAGGTTAAACGCCCCAGCAAGATCATTCATCCTAGAACAGCTCCCGGGATGCTTTGAACAGTATTTATAACCCTACTTATTGAAGGCTTCGTTGAAGGGTGCCTTCAAGGACGAAGGCTTGAAGGGTTCCGGGTTTATTTGGGATTTACTTGGAGGTTCATGGCACTTAGTAAGTACAGCTATAAGTACCTTAACTTGGATTATAGTTAATTATAAGTATAGTTACCCTATTTGTAACCCGAGTTACTAAGTCCCATGAACCTTTAAGTAGTGGATGCCGCATGCTGATTGTAGCGACGGGAACCAGTTCAACACCGTTCATCACAGATTCATCGCAAAATGCAACCACCACCCCTCACGAAAAAAGGAAAGCTAGGTGAATGCACCTTCAATGCCGACCCGCATGATCCTTATGAAGCCCTAAACGCCGAAAGTCGAAACCCCTAAACCCTGAGCCCTTTGAATTACAGTTGATCGTGCTGATCATCTTCCGAGTGAGGGTTGAAAGGTTTAGGGGGGTTTGGGGGTTCTGGGTTCTTGGTTCTAGGGGCTTAGGGTTTAGGGGTTTAGGGGTTTAGGGGTTTAGGGGTTTAGGGGTTTAGGGGTTTAGGGTTTAGGATTTAGGGGTTTAGGGTTTAGGGGTTTAGGGTTTTGGGGTTCAGGGTTTAGGGTTTAGGGTTTAGAGTTCTGGGGTTTAGGGTTTAGGGTTCTGGGGTTTTGGGGTTTTGGGGTTTTGGGGTTTTGGGGTGGGGTAAGGGCGCAGTTGCCATACAAGGTTCGAGTTGTTCATCGGCTTTAGGACGCTTGATGTTGCTGAAGGTCGATGCCAAACATGGTGTTTGATGCTCAGATGTGGTGGTTAAACTCCAGCTGAGCACATGCGATCGGTTTAGAGCGACAGAAGCCAACACATCTTGCATCAATTACCTAACTTTCCAAAGGTTCTCGAAAGTGAATCTCGTCAAGCAATCTCAGCCTGTTGTACTATTCAGGTGCTTCAGCGAGCCCCGAAGCTTACATCACCATCCTACCCGGTCCTAGCCCTCACGGTTGCACTGACACGCCTGAAGCCTCTGGTGTGTTCTTTCCTCATGGCGGGTCACGCGCGGAAGCGGCGATTGGGCAAGGCTGTGTCTTTCAGTGGACTCTAGTAGGAGCTGGTTGGCGCCAGCGGTGTCCATCTGGAGCTTTGGGGGTTTAGGCTGTGTGCTTTTTTGGGAGGCCGTTCCGACAGTTTGTGGAGCGCTGGTATGGGGTTTTGGTTCTCTTGCAGAAGCCCAGAGACTCCAATATCCCTTAATTAAGGAATGTATCTAAACTCATAGTAGGATCCCTAATATGATTAAAGGCGTTTTGTGTATTTTTAAGGATATTGGAGTCTCTGTTGAAGGGCTCTTAATTCCACGGCTCCCCTAAACCCTAAACCAAGAAAGGAACCCTAAATCTCAAACCGAGTCTGTGGGGCAGGTTTTTGTGGTCTGGGCTAGGGATCGGGTTCCGGATACCCTAAACCCTTAAAGCCTTAAGCCCTAAACCGTAAACCCGACACCCTTAAACCCCGAAACCCCAAGCCCTTAAAAGCCTTTAAATCCTAATCCCCTAAACCCTAAACCCTTAGATCATTCAAACCCCTAAACCCTTAAACCCCGTTAAACCCGAAACCCTTAAACCCTAAACCCCTACGCCCTAAACCCTACAGAGACCCTAAACCCTGAACCTTTAGCCCTACTATAGAACCCTATGTTAGAACCCTATAGTACCCTTAAATAGGAGCCCTAGTCCCTAGTTACTAAGTCCCATGGTCCTTTAAGCAGAGAAAACCTAAACCCTAAACCCCATAGATCCCTTTAAAGGGACCTTATAAATCCCTTTAAAGGACCCCCATAAGATCCCTCAAAAAGGAACCTAGGAACCTTATAAATCCCTTTACAGCACCCCTATAAACCGTACAGAAACCCTGACTCCACCTTTCCAGGTCCTGGTGCTGTGCACGGCAGCAGCGAGCTCTGGCTGCGGAGCCTTTTTCTGCCAGCGCGGCGATGCGCCACTGGGTGGCCTTTGGGGTTTAGGGCTTTAGGATACTTCTTTTTTAGGGATTTATAGAGGTCTTCTAAAGGGATCTAATCGATAGGGTTTAGGGTTTGGGGGTTTAGGGGTTGAGGGGTTGAGGGGTTGAGGGGTTCAGGGTTTCAGGGTTTACGGGGTTAGTGGTTTAGGTGTTTAGGGTTTATGGCGGCCTGAGGGCTCCTTTATCTGGAGGATCCTGAAACTTAGTAAGTAAGGTTAGAGCTTGTTAGAACAGCCTTAAATTGGGTTATAAGTAATTATTAGTACGGTTGCCTTAATTAGAACCCTAGCTGCTAAGGCCCATGAACTTTTAAGCACGTTTTACACAAGTACCCCTACAACTTGCAGTAAGGTCTTATGGGGTATTTAGAGAAGAGCACGAACCTGGTGGCAAGGCTAGGTACCGTATGGACAGTTAAGTATTCTACTATAATATATCCTCGATCCTAGTTAGCCCTGTACATGACTAGCTGGCACTTTGGGCAGCTTTAAGATTTCCGTTGTGGCTCCTATAGAGGTGTATGTATGTATGCATGTATATATATATATATACGCATATGTATTCATATGTCTGTATTTTTTGTAATGGCCCCAAAACTACAACGAAACCCTGAACCCTAAACCGTTAAGGACCTTCTAAAGTCTCTCTTCCCAGACCCCCGGGAGGATCCAAAAAGTAGATCCCTTGTACCCTTAGTAGTATAGGGCCCGAAATTAGGGGATCTACTTTCTAGATCCTCCCGGGGGTCTGGGTTTCTGTGCCTCTTCGGCCTCCTCTAGCAGAGCACACTGGGAGCTGAGCGAGAGATTCCAAAATTTCAGAAATTAAAAGAATTCCTAAATTTCCTAAATAGTCGAAACTTCAAGAAAATCCAGATATCAACAAATTCAAAAACATCAGAGTTTCGAGATTCCAAAATTGCGAGACCTAGTGGAAGGGTTTCGGGTCTCGGGTTTCAACATCTAAAGCCTATAAATTAGAAGGGGCCTCCACCCTGTAATAGTGACTATAAAGATTATATTAGGCCCCTATTATATTCCTATTATACCACTATTACAGGGTGGGGGCTATAAATCCCAAATCCTATAAGCCCTCTTTAAATCCTTTAGGGCAGAGGGCATAGGGTTTTATGGTGGCGCCTGATCGGCAAACTGAAGGGTATGCCGCGTTCGATTGGAGCCACAGGTAAGCCCTAAACCCTAAACCCTAAACGCTGCAAGCAAAAAACTCGTCTCCGACTGAGGCAGGCGAAGATATATCCAGGACGGTCTTGCCGCAGGGCAGTTTAGGGTTTAGGGTTTAGGGTTCAGGGTTTAGGGTTTAGGGTTTAGGGTTCAGGGTTTAGGGTTTAGGGTTTAGGGTTTAGGGTTTAGGGGTTGTGCAGCTACGGCATTTTCTGTTCTGTTTTCTGCCTTCGCAACCACCATGGTCCCCATCTTGCTTTGCTGCTGGTGTCACCTCACTAGCCGCCAGAAAGCGAACAGAACACTGACAAGGGTTCCTCGGCGAGAAACGTTTCCTGAAAGCCACGGTGAATTTGGAACTGTACTATAATTTGCTATACTTTGCCTTGTTATACTATGCTTTACTATACTACGAGACTATACTGTACCATGCTGTGTCAATATATTTTAAGATACAGTACAGTCTGACATTATACCGTACTAGATGGGTGGTTGTCAAAATTAGGTCCGTTTTTGGGTCCTTATGATAATACGGCACGTAATATTTAGGGTACCCAAAAAGGGACCCTAATTTTGACAACTACCCAGATGAAGGTAGATTGTCTGCTCAAGCGCT